TTATAACACTATTCTTGTCAGAGATGTGAAGGATTTGCAGTTTCTGTAGATTTGTCTCCAAATGTCGGAACAGATTGTAGTGATTGTGCCATAAGTGTAGCGATAAGTGAGTCAACCCTTTGGGCCAATCGTTCACTGAATCAAATGCCCGCCAATTGGTGACCACTGGGGGATCGACTTCGAGGTTTAGTTTCAATCGTTTCAATCGCTTCATAACTGATATGGCATTCAAGACATCGACATTCAGTTGTGGTGTTTGTGAACGCATTTGAATCTGAAATCTCTTGAGTTTTGGACACATTAACCCGATTTCATGCAAACGCTCGCCGATTGAGTACTGAATGGCACCGGATTTCCGTTTGAAAATCAGGACTAATTCCCGCAAATGTGGTAATCGTGTCAATCGAGTCAGGAATCCGGTGACAATGTCTTGAGAGGCCACCACTTGTGGCGGATTATTAACCACCAGACTCTCGAGGGACTGATTGTGTGCCACAAACTCGTCAAAAATCTGGACATCAGAGTTGGCGCTCATCTTGAAGGCGAAGTGCTGTAAGTTCTTCGCCAACAGCTGTTTGTCCGCCGATTCGGTGAACACATGAGACAAGTAGTCGACAGTCAGTCGATGCAAATTGGGACACAACGGGATCAGTGATCGCCAGCTGCCGACACCCCGGAGATCCAATTCGGTGACCATTGGCCCCAAGCCGTGGAACAAGTGGTCGAAGTTTTGTCGGTCGAAGTGCGAGAAGTTGGCGTATATTCGGCGCAAACTCTTCAGACAATTGTCTCGCGAGTCATCGATGGTCTCCAAAACGCGCGGTTCGTACGCATTGTTAGGTAGGCGTCGGCAGTCAATGGACTCAATGTGTGGACACTTCTTAGCGATTGTGGCGATGAGTGAGACGTCGAAGAAGTTTTCGCCGCAAAGGTTTTTCTTTCCTCTCATTTTAGCCGTCAATTCCTCATTGATAGTGATGTGGCAGACAGTCGTGTACACCAATCGCTGCCACTGTTTGGACATACATTCACATCGGAACCGGTCATCGAGTGTGAGGTAAGAGAGTATGTGTTCACACAAGTCATCACCGAATCGATCCAAAGAGTCTTTTGCATACATTTGCGGCTATTGTTAACAGTAAGACATAAAATACAAGTTTTGATTAAAACTCGCGTTAATTATCACAATATCTTTGATCACCTCTTCGTTGTCCTCCTGAACCATATCTTCAGTCGCTATTCGTTTCATTTGTTGAGCCATTGTTGGGATCCAATTCGTGATAATGAAGTGTTAATTGCAAT